CTAGTACTTTTTTGGATTAGTGCTACTAGCACTAGCCACTCGCACTAAGCCCATTTCGACACATTTACATACATGTTATATGTGTATGTTAATTACTTCAAGTGTTAGATCTAACAATGAGATATGGCTTTTAATAACACATATATATTTTATTAGACGCATAAAATCCTTAGGAAAGGATAAAAAGGGTGAGGCATTATTAAGATTTGTTACTTGCCCAAGGGAATTCAGGTGGTCGAGGTGCCAGCACTCGAGGGCACAATTTTTTTGTTTCTGCAGTTTATAAAGGTGATATGCATTTGTTAACATAGAAATAAGTACAGGAAATGAATTCATTTCCTTGCTGATCATAAGGGAATAATCAATTATTACAAAAACTGGGGCGTCACCCCAGACATGCATGTAAACCTAAGAAAAAAATAGGCAAGTTAACAATGAGACATAAACATATAACTCCTATTTGAATTGTATGTATTACAGTAATTTGTATATTAGCGCTTTGTTTTTCAGAGTTCCACAGTCAATGGTGTATTTTGGAATATTTGAGTACTCCTCTCATCTCATGGAGAAACTAAAATCCAATACATTGATATCTTCTGGTGAGAGACAAGAAGTAGAGATCAGAGGTTGTTCTATCTGGGCTGTTGAGGTAAGAATTATTTTATAATTCTGTCATGTTTGATGCATAGAAGACTGAAAGCACTCTGATCCAAAGTATCAGACTCTACCTTTTATCCTTTCATCTTGCAAGTACTATATCCTCTTCTCTTTTACCAAGTACCCCTATGTTTTTTTCTCTTTTTCCCCCATCCTTTTCTGTCACCTAGTACCAGATTCCTCTCTCTATCACGAAGTACCAGATTCTTCTTTTTGTAACCGAGTACTGGGTACCAGACTCTCCTCTCTGTAACAAAGTACCATATTCTCCTTTCTGTCATTAAATACCAGACTTTCCTTTTTGTCACCAAGACTAGACTAGACTAGACTGTATGTGAAAGAAAAAATACTGAAGATTTACATGTGGGATATACCAGTACATCTCATTAGCATACTTTTTTTTCACAGCTCATTCTGGAAAAATTAAAGCTACTGGCAAAAAAGGATCCATTACAGAAAGACGCTATATTGAATGCTATCATAGTTGATTTTTATCTATGGGACTATGCACAATCACATCGCCAGCAAATGAAGGACATACCTATTCATAAAACTCGTACCATTTATTACTAAGTCATGACAAAATGTAGTATACTCTGTGTAAAATTTCCCAGCAGGATATCAGCAAATACTAGGCAATAATATTATAGACATAATTGTGATCAACATCAATATTACTTGAAATATTTAATATATAAAAAATAATGTTATATATTGTATAATGGAATTTATAAAAATAGCACATAGATCCAGACACAGAAAAAATAAGAAAATAGTTGCTGGTCAACATGAATTATTTTTTTCGAGGCGTAATGAAAACTGATTTAGGTGTATATTACCGGTATTAGTTTTAAATGTTCTTCTATGTGACATTTGTTGAGCCTAATTTTTATCTTTTTATTTTTGTCTTTTTGTCATGTATAATTTTCAAATTGCATGTGAAAATTCGGGTAAGATAAATATAAAATGTAGACATAAAAATAAATGCAAAAATGACGATATTTGAACTGCCGATTATGAGAACTAGTAAGTACTATACTCTCCAAGGTCTGTTACTTAGATATGTAGTTAGTTTTGGCTTGTATGATAAATTTTTCTTGGCATTTTTTGCTTAGATACACACTGTATATTGCTATATTAGTTGTAAATTTCTTGCAATTTGCGCCTTATTTTAAAAAAAGACCTTGAGATTAATATGGAACATGTACTACTATAAGTGTAAAATGTATTAATAAATGTATGCAACATGTATTCAATTTTATTCACCAGTGTGGTAACCACACAACAATCAGCAATCAAAGTACTGTGAAATACTTTATTTTAGCTGGAATCAGTTTGAGATCATTTCTCACATCTAACATTACGGAAAATTGCATCACCACAGTCCAGCATAACAGAGCTTGTAATCTGGGTTTCGTCACGGTATTTTTCTCAGAAATAGGCATAACTGTTTTATAGTAATATAGTAACACAATTGCTTTCTTGTTATTGCACATACATTATTGAGTCTACTCAGATACCACTAGTGAGTAAACGAGTATCGCTGTTACTTTGCTACATTTCCGCCAACCAAATACTCAAACCACGTCGACCTTGGTGTCCTCGTATAATTGAAGAACGCCAGCATTTGTAATTTTAACCTTGGCTGAAATATAAATGCCCGTCAACACTACGTTCCTTCTTTAGATGAACAATCACAAGATTCCATGTTATATTTGCTCCATATTTTGTGATATTTTTCATTTTTCAAATAATGTGTTTGTAAGTACTGATACCGTAGGCATCACCAGAACCAGAAAATAACCAGCAATTTTAACGGTGTTCCAATAAGAATTCATTGGACAAATTTTCATAGAATGTTCTTTAGATAAAAATCAATATAACAAACGAAAAAAAAAATGTTTTTGATTGAAATTCACAAATAAACTGCATATCTACCTTAATTTAGATAGTTTGGTCAACATTTGTCAAATAGGCGAGTTCAAGGAATGGGCAAATAAACAATAAATTAAAATAAAATAAAGTAAGAGAAAATGTATAATGAAAATAAATATTTATACAAATATTCAAAAAATAATAAAGCGCAAACTAGGATATTATTTTAATCAGACTGCGGTAGTATACGCAACTGGTTCAGCCGCCCTCTAGCGGTGACAAAGGATGATTATTGGAGATGTAAACCTCGCACAAACAAACAGGCGAGTTTTAATAACAAACTTACACTACCAATTACATCAACTCATGAGAAGAGGTATGTATGCTAATAAAGTCGGTGTACTTGTTTGACAAAAACGTTAGCACTCCATGAACATTAATTTTGGTTATCCTTTTTCATCCTCGTTATTTCCCGTTGTATCAGAGCAACTTTGTTTCTTTTGGGTAATCGTTTGGACGCGTTGATTTTTAAAACGCTGTTCAAACAAGGGCTGTGCCATTTTGTGTGTCTGAGAGACGTGCCTGCACCTGTCATGTTTACAATATCACCACGAGTCGTGTAACTGATGTTGGACATCGAAAATGTTCAAAGTCATAGATGGTGTCGTATGATACGCAATATGGACTACATGTATTGGCTGCTACGCCACGCCTTCACTGTTTGGCTCGGACGTGTCCATGCAACGAAATTATTTGTAATTCGATCTTCGATAAGGCATACCTTACAAAGACACAGCGTGTGTCAGTGGGTTCAATCAAGTTTTCATTGGTGCAGCACACTCAAAGGAATAAAAGGTGTGCTCGGTAATATATAATGTTGTTTATTCTAGAGGATTACGGCATGGCCGTGATTGTTCACAGATAAAACAGGTGTATTGATTTCTGCGATGAGTTACTAGTATGTTAAATGCAACTATGTAATTAATTCATTGTCATATACAAAATTATTCAGGAGTTCATGAGTTTTAATAATCGTAATGTAAAAAGTAGTTTGAAATAATGTCAATTGAAATATACATTACAGTGAAAGGCAGAAGACTGTACCTTAGTTTATAAACATTTATAAAAAAAATGTAAATACTGTTCATCACCTTTCATTCAAATTTTTTATCTTTTAATTTTATCTTATAGTTTAGCTACTGTATTTTTTATGATTTGTATTTTATTCACCATACTGCGCCCTCTGATGGCATAGCAGTGTAATAAAGTTATTATTATTATTATTATTATTATTATTCAAATTCAGATATTAGTGATTGGACAATAAAGCTCACCATTGTCTAAGCTCAGAATAGCTTCACATGACTTCACATGACGTAGCAATTGTAACCACCCATTTATTCAAAATGAGGTTACGCTTTTCACTGTAATAGTAATAATTATGTTGAGATATAAATAAATATTACAGATAAAATACTCAAAACTATTAATTGTTGCATCATCTATGCTTAAACCTTTATGGCTTATATGTTGATCATGACTACTTATGACATTCTGTCAACTATTTGACAAAATTGGTCTAAAACTAATTAACTCATGTAATCTCATTGATATGCGGTGTGGATACACCTGTGCAATTAATGATATGTTTAAGTGAAAGTAGATACAAAGTTATAACATTACACTTTAAATGAGATGTGGGTAGCTAGTACTGAAAGATGGTTGCAAATTCTGTTTATTCGTTCCTGGTTGTCTGTGAAATGCCAGCCAGTATATACGGTTAAATCTTGTACATTGTCACCAAACAATGCTGCATTTCCTACAGCTGCATTGTTATCTTCTTATTTTTTCATGGGTCTTCTCAAAATACTCTGGAATTTTTGCCTAGATTTTACGGTCAGTGTTCTTTGAATTTTTTCTAGTTTATCTATATGTCTTAGAGCCACAATAATTAATACTTTTCTCATACTGTACAATAGTGACATAACACTAACACTATTTGCAAATATGTTATGATGACCGGGTACTACCTTATATGATGGTATTATAATAATTTATTCCTGAAAATAATTTGTGGAATTTCTCTGTTAACTTTATTCAATGAGTAAAATCAGAAAGGTTCAGGTAACCATGCCCTGTTCTTTAATCATTTTCAAATTTACATTCAAAACTTTTGACTTTTGGAATTTAAAATTACTAATCACTCATTATTTGAAATGTGGAATATTGAGAAAAACAAATTAAAGAACATTAGATCATTCATATACTTTGCACTGGAAATTCAAAACAATAAACATACCATGTTCTGCACATGTTGCATATAACTGTGAAATGTAAAATTGTTTTTTAATCTGTTACAGGTGCACCATAGCCGTAACCAATTGATGGGAACACTTAATCAGTAGTGCGCATTGAATACACAGCATTAGTAATATGGCTAGCAATAAAGGAGGATGTGCTGGACATTGGGAGAAATTGGCTGCCATGCCAACGAAACGTGTTTACAGTGCCCCTGTTGAGGTTGATGGAATCCTGTATGTTGTGGGAGGATGTGACAGCCTTGGCAAGCCTATTGACTCTCTGGAATCTTATGATCCTAAGAAAAATAAATGGAGGCGACTGGCAAATATGCCCACACCGAGGGCAGGACCTGCAGTTGTTGCTGTAGATGGTTGTATTGTCGCTATCGGGGGTGTAGGGCATGACCAGTTACCGGTTAATAGAGTTGAAATGTATAACGTAAAATCAAAGACTTGGTCATTACTGAAACCTCTTTATGAAGAGGTAATGGGAGTATCAGCTGTTGTGTTTGGTGAGTATACAAGTCACCATCGTTGTAAAGCCTCGGTCAGTTTTCGTCACCTGATGATAAAATGCTGCATAGGAATGCGCAGTATTTAAAATTGAATATATTCTGTTAACAGAGAATAACATCATAGTTATCGGAGGAATGAAAAAAAACACTGATCCATCATCCAAAGTCACAGTTTTAGACATCAAGGAAAATGTATGGCATGAACTACCAGACCTTCTGACTCCCAGATACGCCACATCATCATACCTGATTAATAAAAAGTTGTATGTCTTAGGTAAGTAAAGCACAAGCATACCATATTTCAATCACAGTTCCAGGCGCATATAAACTAAAATCATATTTATTGTACACTGAATCATAAAAATATTACCGTAAAATCTGTATTAGAAGCCGCATCCCTAATAGAAGTCGCACCCATTCTTTTTAAACAATTGGGAACCAAAAAATCATCATTTCTCATATGTGTAGATGCTCTAATAGAAGCCGCACCCCCTCTATTGGGTTGTACCATTTTAATAGAAGCCGCGGTTTCTAATACAGATTTTACAGTACTTACTATTATACATCTGTCACCGTAGCACTATAAGTTACAGAGTGTCGTAATTTTGCGCTATTTTACGGGGTATTTTCACCCTACCATATAAGGAAATGGGAATACCAAATATGGAATGATTACGTGCATAAGCGTCCTCTAATAATAAAAACAAACATGGCTGCCATCAGGGTTTGAACGGACTCCCCACAAAGAATTTCGCTGATTTTGTTCTAAACTTTTGGATTTCGGCATTCCCATGATGTATCCTTGGAAGGAAAAGATGTATAATAATAAGGTTTTTCTCTTAAGTTGGTGTCAGCATACTCTTGTGATTCCTGGTGGCAGTAATCACTCATGTCTGCAGACGTCAACCTATGAGAAAATATCATGGTTTAACATTGCTGGGCTGTGAACAATGAGGAGTGGTAAATAAAGTAATGACACAAGAGACTTGATTGCCGATGAAAGGAAAGAGGGGTCTCACCCCGCACGTGCAGGTGTCATAGCGGTCCCTCCCCTGATGCACCTTGATCATTTGAGTTACATCATGATATGGACAACGTGGTATCTGAGTGTGAGTGGTCACTATGGCAACCCTGGCAGTGGGCGTCGTAAGTGCTGTTGCCAGGGTACTAGTCTCAACATCCACTAGCACTGTGGCAAGGACACCGTGGTACCCAAGAAAAATTGTGCATGCTGCAGTGACAGCCCCAAAATTACGGGTGAAAAATAAGTTGGGCACAGTGTAATGACAAATGAGTCATGCAAAATTCTTATTAATCTAATTGTCCTAAGTTGAATCGGTGCAGATGAAATACCTGGCCTAAAGCCTGCTGGCAGCTAAATACTAAGTGATAATAAAAGTACAAAGGCAAAATTGATAAACTATTGTCAGATGAATGGGCGTGCTTCAGTCAGTACGAGGCAATGAATGAAATTGACAAATTCAAACTGGACTAATAATGCAGCGATTGGTTACGGGTAGAAATACACAAATAGCAAATTACAATGTTATCAAATCAAGTGTTGTACATGATAGTTCAACGAGATATTTTCGTAAGGGAGTTCATATGTGATTCAACAATGCTATAGTCTGTAATAAAAGTATAATATTGTCAACGGGAAGCCTGGATGTTACTTGCTGGAATGTTTTGCTATAGTCCGTGGTACTTCCTGTGGTGTTGCTATAGGAGTCTTGATGTAGACTTGATATGCATCACTTTGCCATCGTCCTAGGCATTTAATTAGCCAGTCTGGGATCCCTGCAGCAGCAGCGGTGGTAGCAGCCCCACTCCAAAAGCTGTGACTGGTGTATTGACTGGTATTGTGGAAACCTGCTTGTGCGAGGAGACGTTGCAGTTCATGTATAATCCTTTGTCTTGTTAAAAATGACCCATCCGTGAATTGAAAGGCTGGAGATTGTGTTGGGTGCAAAGCAACGGAGGTGTAACGTAGGTAAGCTCGCACGGCGCAGACAAATGATCCTGAGGCTACGATGATGATATTTTGCCCACGTCAGAATGGGTCAGTCTTCGACGATTTTATGGTGATGTTGAGACTGTTGAGTGATTGGTCAAAGTGGATATCGGAACGAACCATTGTTGTAGCTTCATTGAAGTTGGTCGGTGATTGAGCAGTGAATTAATTCACATGGAGGAAACCAAAGAATGCAATTGTAAACGCAGACCATATCATGAGTTGATCAACTGGTAGGAGTGAATGCGAATAGCGGAGAGCATTTTTTAATGTTCGTAGAATGCTAATGGTGACAGGGAGACGATTATGAATCGGTCCACTGTGTTGCCGTTTTATTTATGGAGTGTCCGGTGTAAATTAGTCCAGTTGGACAAGTCTTTGTGAGCTGTTTCGATGAGTAATTTCATTGTGGCTGTGAGATATAATTTGATGGTGTTGTATGACAGACCAGAGGATGCCAGGTATGTGACGAAGAGCATTATGGAGTACTGTTTTACAGGTAATATCTCCGATGTCGGAACATCGCCACAGCATGTTGCTAATAACATCACGTCCGCGTAGAACTGCTGCTACTATCGCAAGACTACAAATTCAAGATCTCGCACAATGATCCTATCGCATCTTGAATTTATGCGAACATTATTATCTCGCATCGTTTTTATCTTTGTTATATTTTTAAATTAGAAACAATTTGTGTATTGAGCTTTGAGTGTTTGCTTATAGTTATTGGATCAGAATTTAACTCGCCAAGTATACTATTTAGAACTAGTTTATTTCGATATCGTTTCAATTACTTTTGGCCGCCCGGAGAAATGTGGGAAACTGTTTTTGTTTATTTTTCCCGTCGGGCGGACAGCGTCACTCATGTTTTTTGGAGTGAGTGAATAATAATTTTTAAAATACACCCATGATCTTGCCAAAGTGCCAACCATTGTTATTACAATCTGTAGTTATCAGAAAATATGGAACTGGAAGCTCCGGACAACCCTCAGGCATTGTGTACAATAAAAAAACATTTAGCAGTATGTGATGTAACACTATGGTAATGTAGATAATGTGTTTTTGATCTGATTACACAGTGATAAATCTCAATAATTCAAAATATTGCTTGTGACATGTGGTGAAAACAAGAGAAATGATATCATGCATGTACAAGGGACTTTTTGGTGTCTAGTATTAAAAACGACAATATTTTCAGTGGGTTTTCTCACTGAATAACTTACCTTCTAAAAAATCATACTAATGTTAGTCCTGTGTGAAAATTGAATTATGGGAGCATATGTGGTTACATGTCTGTGCGTTAAGGTAGAGGTGTGTGTACATCTATGTGCCTATGTCTGTCTTATTTTAAAACATTCTAAATATATACTTATGTACACAGACTAATAAACCAAATAAACAATAAACTAACAATAAAGATGTTTACTTTTCAAATTTTTTAAACACAATATGCAATTGAAATTTTTACTTGAATTAACTTATGTTTAAAAACTGCCAGATCTGGACTTAATGCTTCCCCTTTACCAACATACAAACTGAAACTGACGTATTATAAACTTAGTAAACACACGACTGTGGTACAGGTCAGTTGATTTTTGTGATTAATATTTTCTTTTTATTTTAGGTGGAAGACATGGCAAAAAAGCAACTCCTGCCTTTGAAATGCTTGATTTAGGCTTGTCAGTAGATGACAGGAAGTGGGTCAAACTTCCTGATATTCCTAGTAAACGAGTATTTCCCTGTTATGCCTCTTCGGATACACATTTCTTTAGCCTTGGTGGACTTCACGAAAATCCCCAGAGTCGTGATGTAAATGATCGTTTTTCTGATGTCATGGAATCTTATGACATTGAAAAGGGTATGCATTTATTTATTGCTTCAATTCAAATTATCGTAATAGACCATTTCCGTTCATTGGGAGATCACACGTTATGCATGAAATCGAATGTAAAAACAGGACAAAGACCATACCATCGTAGTGGCGTCAAACATGAAAGTATTTTGGAGGGTATTTCCACGCTTAATAATTTGCTGTACACATTCGATGAAGTAAGGGCATCTATATCAATATTTCCCTTTCAAAGATCAGCCTTTTGACTTTGAGCTATGAAAAAAAGAAATTCAAATTAAAAATCAAATAGTTATTTTTGTGGCAGTCTTTCACACATTACAAGAGATCTCGCAGTTGAAGATAAAATCACCTATTTATTGTATTAACCATTACAAAAGAGAAGAAATAAATCTGAGTGAGTAAACCACTAGACATAAAAGCAATGCAAATAGCTATAATTTTAAAATTCTTTTTGTTCTTGAAAAATTTATTGTGAAAAGTGAACAATGATTACTATTAATTTTAAACATAATTAATGTTCTACATGTATGTACATATTTACCTTTGTTATATCAAATAGCTAAAAGTATATCAAATTTGAAAAAAATTTGGTGTGGGCATTTCAATGTACGGGTCACCAAATCAATCTGACAAGTGTTTTTTAAAAATGCCCTGAACAGGAACAAACTGAATTAGTTTAGCCTATGGAACACCAAAAATGAAAGCAATTGAAAAAGCTGCTTTCAAAAACAAGAGCAAAAACAGTATAATAATGATTGGCCCTAACATTACATTGTTTTTCCCCTAGGTGAATGGGCCGTTAATACCCCAATGATTACGAAGCGAGGCGACTTTTCTGCAGCTTACATGAATGGAAAAGTAATAGCAGCTGTTGGAATGAGTGAGTTAATATTTTAGTCATTGGGTAATTTGCGGTATTTTACAGGGTATTTTCATCCTACCATATAAGGAAATGATTACGCACGTAAGCGTCTTCTAATAATAAAAACAAACATGGCTGCCACCAGGGTTTGACCGGACTCCACGCAAAGAAGTTTGATGATTCTCTTCTAAACTTTTTGGATTTCGGCTTTCCCATGATGTATCCTTGGAATGAAAAGATGTATAATAATGTTATTACGAAGACAGTACAGCTGTGCGTCAGCCTATGTGGCGGCGTACTGTCTGAGTGCATACTTTGAGGTATCGTCTTAATAACCTCATTTTATTTGGCATTAGACCACTAATATGATAGAGTTTGTGGTCCCATATTACTAATGATTGCCACTTACCTGTGGACTGCTGAATTAGTTTCTGTCAGACATAGTCAGAAACCAGTGACTTTCAAACTGCTTACTGTTTAAACACAGGCCAAAAACAATTTAGAAAATTATCAGGTTTTAAAAAAAATTAAATGAATACTGGAACTACTTCTTGTAGCTTGTGTAATACAAATGATCTCAGCTCGTGTAAACAAATACAATCTCCGGAGTGTGGGATTTTATCTCATTTGAACTGGCTGTATCGAATAATTTTTATGACTGTCCACCTTTTAGCAAATTAACCATGAGTGGCACCATGTCCGAGTTAAAAGCCAGGTTTCCTTGGTTCACATCATGCAGTTATTTTGATGAAATTTATTGCACATTCTTGTCTGTTTTGAGTCCTCAAATTTAACCGAACACAGGTATGGGGACTATTCCATTGACAACAACTTGTTCATGTATTCTTTCAGGTAATCAGGGCAATGCGTTGACTGAAGTTGAAGAATTTGACTTAACCACCAATCAATGGGAGAAAGTAGAAGCAACTTCTGTTGCACAGTGTTCATGTGCTTCTATTGTCTTTAAAAATCGTTTCCTCATTATTGGAGGTCTCTCAAATCAAGGACCTTGTAATCACATGCAAGCATATGGAATAAAGACAAAATCAAGTTGATTTGTAAAACTACAGGGTACTGATCTCTCAATCAGACTTGAATGTCATGACTAGAGATTTTATCAGTGATAAAAACGATTTGGTGAGCAAAATTTTGAGGACCAAATTAGATAATAATTAAGAATTTTTGTCAAACGTTTCCTTTCAAAATTTTTAAATAAGGGGGAATATTTTCACTTACACATTTATCCAGCAGTGATTGTTTTTTTCCTCTTTTCCAACATACTGGAACATTTATTTCCGTACCTACTGACTGATGGATTATGTTTCTGGGATTTTTGCTCACCATTTTCTGACAAAGATTCTTTATCTGATTTATAGGCAACATTTTGCTCACCAAATGGTGCTCGCTGTTTACCTGTACTCCCACAACTGTAATTTTAAATGAAGTTGTAACAGTATTAGGTACTGTTTGTGGCTATTTTTCGGCCATTTTTAGTCCCCAATTAGATGAAGTTCAATTGAATGTCTTTGTATGAGCAGGTCTTGTTTATATGTGGACAGACATTCAAACTTGGTTACATGCATTGACATTATAGTACCTGGACGTGCATCACTTTCATTTTCTGATTTCTTTCTCCAGAACAGTGTTTTGGCCCTGCATTATAAGATTAGTTGATCAAACTTTGTGTGTATAATGTGCATTGAATATCACGGCACCTTGATGCATGTTGCTTTTAGGAGCTGATTACAAATGGCAAACTGGCAGAAATTTTGTTTTCAACAAGTGGTATTTCTGACAAGCTTTACACATACAATATCGATGTTCAGATTCAATATTGAGATGGTCAACTGGTGTCTAAAATTGCACTAAATTTGTATCATTCTAGAGCAATCATTTGTATGTCTTTGTCATTTTTACTGATTCTAAGAATAATGGTAATTTATAAAATGTACGAATGCAAGCTGAGTGAGTGTGCATATATATTGTTATACATATGACCTTTCATCAAACTTGTTTATCGTTTTTGAATGTTGCAGTGACATGGTTCTTATCCTTGTTGAAAAAAATGATGTCAATACTACTGAATGTAGCTTAATGATATCTGTTCTTGAATAGGAATTAAATTATTACATTGTGATAATCAAATGAAGTATTTTGTAGTCCATTGGATGGGAACCCTTTTTTAAATCATTACCAATATAGTGAATAAAACTACTTATGTATTACCTCATTACCCTCACTACATTTTCAGGTATCTAAAACACCTACATCCAGTTTTTCTCTATAAAAATTACAATTCAATTGCACTCTTGCCATAGGTACTTGCCTTGTACTACTATCTGCAAGTCTAACACACACATACTGTCCCAACAAGTATGCACGTTTCGATACAAACTTTGACTTTATCAATGTCTGAGTACAACTATCACTGATTGTCCATTCAGCAGTTCCTTGCATCTATGTACATCTATACAATTACCATATGAACACTTGTTTCCTTTGATTCACCTGCACAATAAAATACTTTACTACCCTTTCCTGGTCTACTATTTGGTCTAGGCTTAAGATTTATAGGACATGTTGTAGTATTATGACCAGCTTGACTATTCTTATTAGATTGTTGAACAAAATTAAATTATCAACTTCTAAATTTTCCATTTGATGCCATTGACTTATCTACTTTAGGTTTACCATGAACAGTAATATACTGCTCAGCTAATTTAATGACCTCACCTTTTTGTTGAGGTTTCCTTTCACGAATCCATATCTTCAATTCATAAGGTGAATTCTCTATGATTTGCTCCCTTAACAACAGATCTATCATTGTCTCCATACTGTCATATTCTGCTGCTTTAAACCAATGCTCCAACAGATTCTCCATTCTGGCACCCCATTCAATAAACACCCCACCTTACACTTTTTAATTTGCTCTGCTGTCAACTGCAAGATCACTCATATTGAAAAATGCAGCTTGTGCTTTACCAGATAAATGAGCCAATGATGTGCTATTGCAATCTTTTCAAATGTTTTAAAATAAACATTAATATCATCACCTTCCTGAAAATGCAAAATGTTAGGACCCTTGTCTACACTTACAGTATTATCTGTACTATGTACTATGCTCCTTACCTTGTACCTACGTAACTTCTAAATCTTGCAACCTCATTTCCACTTCATGTTTTCTCTTTTGTTTTTCAGCAATGCTACCATTTTTACATCTCTAGCTTCTGTTTAAGCATAACTATCTGTAATTCATATTCAGCTCTTCACCTCACTGTATCCTGATGCTTTGGATCCAAATCCTGCAAGTCCTTATTCACACCCCCCCCCCCCCCACAAATTAGAATGCACGGGAATCAGCATCCCCTATATCATTCATACATAACAACTGGTGATTGTTAAGTGAGTGAAGTAAAATATTAGTCAAAATGTTGCACGAGTAAATCAGCAGTTAGTAAAAAGGAGTTCCAAGAGAGCTGAAACAATGTTGCAGTCAAATAAAGAATGTCCCATTCCAACATACACTGCTTCTACGAGCCGTCAGTCAATTCAAACCGGCTTTTCATACAGCTGGCACAGTTAGTACTCAAAGCAGTATTTAACCCTCCCTCAACTTGCATTGCACAAGTTTCTACCTCTACTGTGTTGCACACAGAAAGTTGATCTTCATGTTACAGAGCTCAACGGGCCTTTTCCACAGATTCAGGTTTCTCAGTGCTTTGCAAAGAATTATTATTTCTTTAGTAGTATTTAGACTTCTCAAGATAGAGTGAACCACATGACTATTGGTCACCAAATCCGGGAGGAGAATAACGCACTGGGGAGATGTTTATTGCTCAACAGCGAGGCCTAGAACTGAGTCTAAGTACTAACGAATGGATGGTGTGTAGTTGTGGTAAATCAAGAAAGCACCCCAGTCTGGAAGGACTAACCAATGAATGATCCTTGATAAAAAGATAATAAGTGTTAGTGGTCTTGGAGGGCGCAATAGATGGAGAGCAATCAGAAATAATAAACGAATTCAAAGGTATATATATATATACCATCGAATACAGGATATTGGAGGGAAATAACATGTATAATTTTGGTTTTGAGGGTGGAAATAGACGGGTAGATATATAGGGTGAAACATGAAGAAACAAAACAATTTTTATGCAAACAACTCAACATAATGTGACAGAAATCAAATCTTAGTGACGTTCGATGGAGACTTTCATTTACGACAGGAGTATATTTCTCCTGATATACATTTTATATGGTCTTTATTCACAAATATTAAAGGCCTTCGGCCCATAAACAAAGAACATTTGTGCGTTTGTACAGTAAATATTACAATAAATCTGAAACATTTAACGTATGAAATACATATTCACCAAGGCGTTTCAAAATGACATCGTCATGTGATTTCATTAAAAGAATAAATTTGTTGAAATTTAGGTAAATTCCGGGGGGAGTTGCATGACACGACTGGTTGAAATAATCGTCTCATTTGCATGAATTAATATTCACGAGCAATGAAAAAACTCGTCTTTTCAGTAAAATTGTGCCAAAATGCTTTCCGATAGCATACATAATAGTTCTAAATTGACTGATTCTATCGTTACGAGCTGAAAAAATTATCGTAAAACTGAGACACGTTTTTGATCAGACTCAACAACAAACTGTTGAAAATAACCACAGGTTTTTTCTTTAACCTGATCATAGAAAGTTACGAAATTCATGTAGAATGCAGAGGCACGTTGATATTTCACTTTTAGTACTATTGCTCAACATTGCGCATAATGTTCTCAATAACATTTACCAATGACAAGTTACCTAATTAGTATTAATTTCGATAAATTACTGTGTGTGTGCATGCGTAGTTTGAAATGGAACAATTTTCAACGCAATAAAATCACGCGTAGAACTCATTGCTGCAAGAAACTAGTGGCGTCAAACTGGTTGTCGGTTGAATTATTTTGCAATAGACATAATTTTAGCCTTTATATTCCTATGTAATGTTTTTAAAGTTTCGTTGAGGATTATTTTGTACAGCAATCGCTTAAATTATTCCATCTGTTCATAAAGGAGACGTTGCTTTGACAATGGACTACGGACGACTGACTTCGAAACGTTCCATCCAGATCGGACGGCGCCCTCTCGAGCCAATCCCCCGGGTAAATTAGACAAATTGGTAGCGTAACCAGTTTACCGAATAAGATAATAAGTTTATGTAAAGAAATATACTACAGGTTTTCACGGGTGATTATATTGGAGTAAATATATGGATAACAGGTTCGTAGGCGATTGTACCTCAATCATATTTACTCTTTTTTCCCCGGAACTATAAGAATGAGTGATGCATGACATGACATTTTTTCTATTGAGTAAATAGGTAATTTGTACTGATATTCCCATTGCATTATAGAATGCTGAATGTGAAAATCTAATATTGTTGAGTTGGTTACTTGAAAAAGAAATAGAATCCACATAAAATTAGCTATTTGACATGTTCCCTGATTGTAGACTTCAAAGATATTTGCGTACAAGAAAATATATCTGAGCTCAATGGATTGATCTCCAAATAAGTAACACCATTCGTAAAATGATTAGTTATTGGACATGTTCATTTCGTTCTTTTTTTCTTTCAATAAATTATCATGTAATGTTTTCATGTCCTGTGAGTTTTTTTCATAATTACAGTATATGTAACAGCACACAAGGCTAATGGGAAAATAAATATACAAAGAAGCACTACTATGTAATGTTGCTAAATGTTTCATAGAATTGCAGTACTTATGCATTTACTACATTCAAAAAAAGTAACAAACAATTTCAGTGAATAATCACGTGAAATGGCAAACTTGGGTGATTTATGCAGAGGGGGGGGGGGGGCACCATTAATAACGTCCTACATGTTTGCCACCAACAAAGCCTTCATGTGAGATATTGCAACAATTACAGTAGCGACGACATTCCCTTGCATTACAAAAAGATCAACATAAATAGCAAAGTAACATAAACTAAAACCACTGACATAAATATCATTATTACTGCAACTGTTTCATCTAATCACATGAAGGACATGGCCATTGGCAAACTTGGTTGATTTATTCAAACCATTTGTTATGTCCCAAAGGTAATGTGCCAGCTAGATCATCCATATCAGATATTTCAAATATAACAGTGATGATATAACTACATTATATTTGTCGTCGTGTGAAGTACAGGTGCAATAAAGCATCTTTACTAATGTATCTCATGATTTTTTCAACCAGGCCGTCTAATATATGTGTCATCACACGTAGACATGGCCAATAACAAACTTATGTGATTTAAACAGGAGTAGGGGGCTTCGTCATTGATAACCACCAGTCTATTCCATGCGAGACAACCCATGCATTTATTTATTTCTCCATAGCAGGCGATTTTCGTTTTACAATTTCTGCACTGTAAATCTTTCCTCTCACTTCTTTTCATATGCACTTGAATTGATTACTTTCTTGCATATTTTTACACAACATGTTTTGGCAATAACTGTTCCTTATCACTCGTGACCTCACTCCTCGAAACCTTGAATCTCAACCTTCTTTGAAGATTATTTTCCTTGCAAAGACTGCACGTTGCATCTTTCGTTTTAATTATGTAATCTATTTGTTGACCAGACTTTCTTCTTTTCAAAACACAAAGACATACTACTCTTGGGTGTTCCGCAACAATGAGTCCCAGCTCTGGAATTTCGTATTTTATATGTTTAGTGAAGAACATACATGCTTTGTGAAGTTGGAATTAGATATAATTCATTTTCCTTCCTCAGAAGCTGTAACAGGCCTGACTATCACCATGCAAGTGTGTAGCATTTCATTCATAGGTATTAGTAGTGCCAGTAGCGCAGTTCTA